CTCAGGTCATCCTGAGTCCAGAGCCCAAGTACATGTCTATGATTAAGGATGACTCATCCCACGACCGCATGCAATATATAAACCCCGTGTGTTTATGTATTTCCCTTGGGAACTCTGATTGGTATCTCAAAGAGAATTAAGAGCCGTTGCCCCGGAGGAAGGAGAGCCCAGTGCCAGCCGCGGGAACCTGATGCCCAGCGTGGAACAACAGCTCCCTTTCCCCTCCTCAGAAGGGCTTCCCACCTGCCTGGACATCCTTCCTGATGCTGAGAGCCTTGCTTCCTGCAGTTGAAGGCGGGCTGCGGAGGGGGGGCAGTGTACCACATCTTTCAGCTGTACGACCCCCAGCTCTTTCTGCTTTGTTGTCTGCTGTGCTGGGAGCGGCCACTGTGCTATTCTGGGCCCCCGTGTTAGCCACACGGGAGAAGCTGACCCCACAGCTCAGTGTCTGGAGCAGCTTGTTTTGCTCAACTCGGGTCGCTGACAGTAACTGCTTGGTCACCTGAGCTCTTGAGGCCACTTGCTCATTCTTTGTGGGAAGGAAGTGTTACTTAAGCATGAGCACTTGATTGACAAGAATGGTGTTTGCACAGATTGCAATAAACAACTTCCCTCAACCCCGGATACTCCCCCTGTGCCTCCCCTCCCCCAGATAACACTCATAGAGCAGATTGCCTTACAGGCGTGGACCTGAGCTTCCCAACTGGCCAGCCATGGGACACTGGTGGGCCTAGACATACTGATGCCTCAGCCCTCACAGTGCTGGGTGTGCTCACAGCCAGCCCCACCTAGGGCATTCAGTGTGTCATATAAATACTATTATTCTCAGGGTCACGATGTCAACGAGGTTGCAACGCAGCGACACAGGCAACTTGCACTTTTGTCAGCAAGAGCATCCCAAGAGCATTTAAGAATCAGATGGAAAGGGTGAAGGTCCTCAGAGAGACGGCGGCTCTAAATTCCCAGAACTTTCAACAACCCCATAGGAAACATCACTATTTCCCAGCTGGTTAGAAGCATAGCTCAGAGCAAAGATTTAGACATACGCTGTCCAATACTGTGACCAGTAGCTACATGTGGCAGCTGAGCACTTGAAATGAAGAAAGTCTGCACTAAGACGTGTTTAAGTACAAAACACATGCCAGGGCTTCCCTGGTGGCGTAGTGGTTGAGAGTCCGCCTGCCGATGCAGGGGACACGGGTTCCTGCCCCGGGCCGGGAAGATCCCACATGCCGCGGAGCAGCTGGGCCCGTGAGCCATGGCCGCTGAGCCTGCGCGTCCGGAGCCTGTGCTCCGCAACGGGAGAGGCCACACAGTGAGAGGCCCGTGTACCGCAAACAAACAAACGAACAAAAAACCAGAAAAAAAACACATGCCAAATTTTGGAGACTTCGTATGAAGAAAATAACATAAACTCTCAATTTTTAAAATATGGATTACATGTTGAAATGATAATATTTCAGATAAACTAGCTAAGTATTTCTACTTGTTTCTTTTAACCTTCAAATCTGTCTGCTGGGAATTTTAACATTACCCAAGTGGCTCACACTCTATTTTTCATGGACAACACTGATTTAGACCAAAGATCCTCTGTCTTAATGCCTATAGGACACACATGAAAGGTGGTGTTACCCAGTGTCAGCATGTTATAACTGCTCTGGGTGAACTTGAAAACAATGAGGTCTTTGACCTGTTCCTCTGGGTTCTGTAGCAGTGGCAGTTTGTTCCTTTGGGTTTACATACCTCCATTCAACAGAGGTCATGATCTTCTTGACGGAGGCAATAGCTCCTTATTATAGAACTGCTACTATTCACTGACTGTTGTTCCGGGCCAGGCACTATGCTGTGTGAAAACTTGTCCCAGCCAGCTTAAGTCTCATTCCAAATCCGTGCGCCCACCCTTCTGCTATGCTGCCTCTTACAGGGGAGTGTGGGAGAAATTTCAGACAGGATCATCAGTACTTTGGGGGTGCCATGCTCACACCTCCCCCCTTGCCAAGCCTTTAAGAACATCGTCCTCTGCTTTGCAGCCTTGGTTCCCTGGGCTCGCAACATGGGGAAACATCACTGAGTGCCTGGCTAGGGAGCAATTTGGGAGCTTTTAACACGAGCAGAGCGGAAACGCCAGGAAGTGGGAGGGGTACTGGTCTCTGTAGACCAGAAGCTGAAAAGGGTGGAGGAGCCAGAGGGACATCCTGCCTGGCTTTAGACAGCTACGCACCAGAGAGACGCCACCCAGATGACAAGCCTGGTGCTACCCAGGTCCCCTATTGGCTTGGATGGAGAAGCATGTCATTTTTATGGGTCGAAAGTGTATAAGCACCAGAGGAAGATGCGTTAAGGCAAGGACACATTCTTTATTTGCTCAGTGTTTGGACACTGTAACAACAAAGGTGTTCTTGGAACACTTAAAATTTTATGGAAAGTAGCTTGGAAAGTCATTCCATCACCGCTAAATATTTAGTATCTTGATTACTGAGCAGACAGCTGCCCCTCCTCCCTACTAGTTTCTAGAAGGTTTTGCTCTTCATGCTAAGGCTAATTAGGGGTTGGGGACAGTAATCTGGGAGGCAGAATCAAAAAACACAGAATAAATCTTCAGATCGGAAATCTGGCATTTAGGCTGGATCAATCTGCTAAACTTCCGATTAGATCTGTAGCCAGAAGAAAACTTGAAAGTATTGATTAGAAGCTCCAGGTTGTCAAAAGCAACTACTCAGGCATCAAAAACCCATTCCTGGTAAAAATGGGCACGAGAAAGGGCAACACGTTACAGGCCAGAGGAAGAGTCTATTTCAGTAGCACAGGACGAATGGCAAGAGTTTGGAGTACAGATGAGACAGGCAGCGTCCCCAGGAGACATCAACCTTTTCAGAAACAATCAGCATGTCCTCATCAGAAAGCCAAGGCCAGTGCCCCATCCTCGGCTTTCTGGGAGTAGTCTGCGCACAGTTACCTAAAGGGGTGGCTTTTGGATTCAAGGAATTGCCTTTTGTTGCAGATCTAAGAAACACAATCTCCCCTTTATGCAAGTTCAACCTTTACTCCACTCTCCTACGGCTCTTTAGACGTTTACTTACCAGGAGGTTCTTTTTACTTGACTGCATCACAACTATTGGCAAGTGCTGAGAACACAACAGGGAAGTTTGAAGTTCATACCCCGGTAGGTAATAGCCACTTTTGACTTGCGCTTACTTGTAGGATGGTTGGTACAAGGTATGCTAGACCTTCAGGAATGCTCCCTTTAGGAACCTGTAAGCGAGACCTGGAAAGAAACTGCAGCCATCATCGAGCATGGAGTATTTGGTTAGTTATGAATCCACCAGGGTCCTAGGGTTTTAGGGCAAGAAGCTGGTAAGGTCAGAAGTCTCAGCCCTCTGCCATTCCCTCAGCCCACTTCACAGATCAGAAAACGGAGCCTCAGATGCAGTCTTATAGACTCTGGAAGCCGGAGGGTGTTGCCTCTTCCCAGAACACACCGCGGGGTGGGAGAAAGTGTGAGGGCAGAAGTGATGGCTGCCTCTCCCTTGGTCTTTCCCTCCAGGTGGGAAACTCTAGCCTGACTTTATTGTATTCCAAGTGAGCCAAACACCCGTTTCTGTTTCTCACCTTCTGGAGAAGTTCCAACCCACATCATTTCAAACCTTTCCGTTTTCTCTAAGCGTGATCAGGCCACAGATTTACAAATTGAAGGGAGGGAGGGGCAAATGGGAGGGGAGGAAAGACAGGTAGAGAAAAGCTGGTCCCATCACCCTGGATACAGCTAATCTTATCTGATTTTGTATGCTGAACAGCTGGCCCTATATCTGATTTATGGTCAGCAGTGAGGAAACTATAAATTAGGAAAAGAGAATCCTCCCTCTGTAATAATCTTTTCAGGAAACAGAGATGGCATAACATATCTAGGAATCAAAATGCTAACATAGGGAACCAACCTCTGCATCTCTGGGGGCCAAGCACTGATTATTTTTGTTCCAAAGCATGGTGGGATAAAACCACATGCCCCCCACCCCCACCCCCCGCCATCTACCACCACTGGGAACTTGCAGGCATAAGAATCTCCTAGAAGAGAGCAGGGCTGGAGAAGCAAAGTGGAGAACAGTGTGCCCCCTCCAGCAGCCACAGTCCCTACCAATCTCCCTGGTTTTAACCTCAGGCCTTGCCACTCCAGCCAATCAAGCACTTGGTACAAAGTGGGTGGGCCTGTTACCATGGCAATGGTTTCCGGACAATGATCACCATTACCTAGACCACTGCATCTCTGTCTCCCTCTCCCTCTGAGGGCAGTGGAGACATGGAAGGGGCTTAGTTCAGCAGAGTAAGCCAAGTGCATAGAAGTGTGAGGGTCCAGACCAACGTGACGTGCTCCTGACCCAGGAATTCAGACAGCGTGAGTTTAACTCCCTGTGATTTCACTCTGCAAATACAAGTCTGTAGGGTTTATTTGTAATTAAAACTTTCACTTTTCTTCCTTATTGCAAAGACATGAAGATAAAAATATGAGAATTAAGCAGAGAAGAAAAAACACCCATAACTCCTATCGCCCAGAGTTTTTATTCGTTTGGTGTGTATAATATTTGTTATGCAACTTTATGTGCTTTTTAAAAAAACAACAAAAAATGGAATACTATTCATGTCGTTTTAAAGTGTGCCTCCTCTCTTAATAATTGTGACTATTTTTCTAAGTCAGTAAGTGTACATTTAATATATCATTTTTAATGACTGCCCTCCTCAGTCACATGGATTCACTCCATGTTACTCATCTAGGCCCCTACTATTGAACATGGGGGTTGTGCCTAATTTTTGAAAAAAATTAGAGAGGGAGAAAGAGAGAGGGAAAGTAACATGTCCTAGGTTACACCACTAATACGTGATGGAGTCAGAGTTCCAGCCTAGGCCCTCTGTCTACACTTGAGTGGTTCCCATGATTCTTATTTTACTAGTGGAGGGGGATCTGGGGGCTGGAGAGGGAGTGGGGGTCATGTGTCTTGCCAAGGACCATGGAGTTTGACAGTGGTGCCGCTGGATCAGTTACCAGGGCCTGTCCCAGCCTCTGCTTCCACAGACTTCTGCTTCTAGATGTGTTAGGACAGCCTCTGGAAAGGGAAGGTTTCGGTTAATTAACAGCACTGAAGAGAAAGCAAGCTGTGGTCCTCAGGGAACTGTGCACTATCATTTAAGCTCTGAGCACAAGTGGTCAGGAGGCTAAGCCTCTCAGGGTTCTGCAGTGATCCAGGTGTTAAGACTCCATCCATGGCTCCCAGGACAGGTGCTGAGGCCCCACTCGGATCTGGGCCCTGTTTGGGGGTTGAATGCCGA